GACAGTGGTGGTGCGCCCATGACGAAACAACAAGAACATCCTATAGGTCATTTATGAGGACCTATGAGATGACAATCAAGGCTGAAAAGAGAATTAGGCAGCCATGATTGCATCTGCAAGCTCTCGACCAGCCCAGTTGTTTAGAATGATTCACTCTTTAACTACTCTGCCTCAGAGCAGACCAAACGTTAGGGAACTGGATATTGGCTGTGAGGATTTTGTGAGCTTCTTCACAGATAAAGTCCTGTCACTCTGCCGTGACCTCCCCGCCACAGTTGAGACAGTGAGTGAACTCGAGGTTCCATGCACATCTTCAACCAGCTCAGCCTAGAGGAAGTTGACAGAATACTCATAACTGTATGCCCCACCACCTGCAGCCTTGACCCATACCCATCGTGGCTGATTAAAGCAAGCCGTGATGGTTTACAAGATTCCCTACGGGGAACTGTCAAGAAGTCCTTCTCTGAGAGAACATTCCCGAGGGCCCTTAAGGAGGCAGGAGTCAAGAAGCCATCCTTGGATCCGGCAGAATTGACAAACTACTTGTTGGTTTCCAACTTGCCCTACCTGGGCAAGATAATTGAGAGGGCAGTGGCTAATCAGTTACAGGGTTTTCTGGATGACGCTTTCATATTAGACCCCTTCCAGTCCAGCTTTCGTCCAGGTCATGCCATGGAGACGGTACTGGTCACCCTCACAGACGATCTCCAACGACATCTGGACCAAGGCGGGATAGCAGTACTGCTGTTATTAGACCTGTTGGCTGCGTTTGACTCTGTCAACCACCAGTTACTGATCCACCACCTCACCAATGCTGGAATTCAGGGGCTCGCCTTACTATGGCTTGCCTCCTTCCTCCAGGGTCGAGGACAAAGTGTGGTGCTTGGGGAAGTACAGTCCCAAAGGCACCCGCTGACCTGCAGTGTGCCTCAAGGGGCGGTCCTATCCCCAATGCTATTTCACATCTACACGTGCCCCCTTGCTAAGATTGCTCGGAGCTATGGACTGGGCTATGGACCAGTACGCTGATGACACCCAGTTATACCTGTCATTGGGCGGCCAGTCAGACTACGGGCTGGAAGATCTGGACCTGGCTTTACAAGCTGTGGCAGGATGGCTTAGGCTGACCCGGCTGAAACGGAATCCGATGAAGATGGAGGTCCTGTGCCTAAGTCGTGGTGGTCCAGGGGCGGGGATCCCACTCCCGACCTTCAACAGGACGCCACTGATGCCAGCGCTGGAGGTTAGGAGTTTGGGATTTCTCTTGGACGCCTCCCTAATGATGGAGGCCCAGGTAGCAGCCACTGCCAAGTCAGCCTTCTACCATCTGCAGCTGATCAGGCAGTTGGTTCCCTTCCTCGAACATGGCTATTTGGTAATGGTTACCTCGATTGTCTACATGGGGCTATACTTGTCACGAATTCAGAAACTGCAGCTGGTACAAAACACTACAGCCAGGCTGTTGCTGAGTCTGAAAGCGTTGCACTGGCTGCCTATAGCATACCGAATTCGCTTCAAGGTGCTGGTTCTTACCTGTAAAGCCCTTTATGGTTTGGGACCAGCATACCTGAGGGACCGCCTTTCCCCACCTGTTCCCCAGAGAGCACTGCGTTCTGGGACACAAAACCTCCTGATTCTCCCTGGTCCTAAAGAGCCCAGACTGGCCATCACCAGGGCTAGAGCCTTCTCTGTGGCAGCACCACGCTGGTGGAACGAGCTCCCGGAGGACACCGGGGCCCTGTGGAGCTTGCTGCAGTTCCACAGAGCCTGCAAGACTGAGCTCTTCCACCAGGCATTTGGCCGCATCTAACATCTGGTACACCTGGTACAATGGGGTGTATCTGGTTACAACATCAGAGCCTTCCCTGGGACCTTTTGCCATCGCCACTGTTGCACTGACTGACTGACTCCTGTTGCAGAATACTGGATATAGCAATATTGGAACATGTTCACCACGGGACAGGAAAACTTGAATGTATAGCACTTTAGTTTTTATATTGGTTTTAAATTGTTCTAAAACTGTTTTAAAAATGTTATGTAAGCTGCCCTGAGCCTGCTTCGGCGGGGAGGGCGGGGTATGAATCCAATAAACAAAGAAACAGACATCTGGACAGGGCGTTGCAAGCATCACAGAGTGGCCTGAAACGGAATCCATCGAAGACAGAAGTCCTGCACCTGGGTCGCGGGGGACTGGGACTGGGTATTGGGCTCCCGGCCTTTGACGGGGCCCCATTCGTGCCAAAGCCGAATTACTAGATTACTGTAATTCTCTCTATGTTGCAGAAGTTGCAGCCTAGTGCAGAACGTAGTGGCAAAGTTCCTGAAGTTGCTGCCTGTGTGGGCACATATCCACCCTGTGTTGTGTGACCTGCACTGGCTGCCTATTGAATACCAGATCCATTTCAAGGTGTTGGTGCTTACCTTTAAAGCCCTGTACGGCCAAAGGCCTGCATATCTTCGAGATCACCTGTCTCCATAGGACCCCGGTAGAACATTGCGTTCTAGAAACCAGCACCTTCTGGTAGTCCCTGGGCCTAGGGATGTCTGACTAGGGCCAGGGCCTTTTCAGCCTTGGCTCCTGCCTGTAGCAAACTCTGTACTTTGTTTGCCATGTTGATTTTCTATGCTTAGAGCTGGAAGGGGGGAGGGAGTGGGAAGGAGCTTTGCCAGATGCCTGTCACGAATTCCAAGTGGCCTCCCGAGGAGGGAAGATGAGCGACCTTGAAGCCTTTGGCTGCCAGGAACGCTGTCATAGATACATTCTGTAGTTCACAGGTGTGGGGGGGAGAGAATACCCACGCTTTGGCTTGGCGGGATGAATGACCAGTGTGATTGGATCTTGGCATGGGGGGGGTACTTTGAAGTGGGTGTAATAGTGGGCTTGGCACCAATACCCACCTGTTCTGACACAAGTTGGCTTGCACCTGTATCGACTGCATATCTCAATAAACAAATCTTGCACCCGAAGAGTGTTGTCGGGAGTGAGTACGCACAGGGGCCTGGCAGCCTGGGCTCTGCGGGATCTATTATAGTTCCACAGGGCCTACAAGACAGAACTCTTCCGTCAGGCCTTTCGTTGAGGGCAGCGGGCATCCACTTTGATCTGTCCCCCCCCCCCCCCCCCGTGACCACAGATCCTAGAAGCCAGATTGGGACCACATTATCATCTGTTGAGGCGTGTTGTTGTTTTATGCTGGTGATTTTATTGTTTTAATGGCTTGTTATAATATGTTTTAATTGTAAAGCTGCACAAATTGCATAACTATATGTTGGTGCCTGCTCTGAGCCTAACATGTGGGGATGGCGGGATATAAGTCGAACAAAATAAAAATAAATAGAAATATTTCTCAGCCTGAGACCCGGGAGTGGATGCCAAGGAAAAGGGAAAGTCTAAGTCCGAGACCATGCTTTAGGGAGGCTGTGAAGTCGAAAGGCCCACCCTCGTAGCCATTTCCCTCCCAAGTAAAGAGCTTTTCCTAAAAGTGAAGCAGAAAGTCCTCGTTCTACTAGGCAATCTCTGCCCATTAAGTCTGGCTTAGACCTCACACAGATTCAGGAGGGACAGGCGAAGAGGGCCCTTGATGCCAGCCGCTTCTGCAGTCCCTTCTGCTGGGGGAGAGTCTCCTGGTCCTGGGGCAGAAACTCCTCTGAAGTGCCGGTGGAGGAAATGTCGTGGCAAGAGGGAGGGCCCCTGTCACGGCCAGCTCCTGTCTCCTGGCCACCACTGTGATTCACCACCTGGCATGGAGGGGGGGGATATCCCTTCCCTATCTCTACAGGCCTGGGGAGTCCTCTATCCCATGTTGAGTTGCTCTGTCTTCTTCAGAGCTCTGCGCTATAAGGAGCACGCTAAGAAACACCCTCTGCTTCCAAGGCAGGGCTGAAGGACTGGAGGGTTCTGGAATGGGCAAAAGATGTCAACCCAGCCCAGGATCCCGGAAGTGAAGACTGCCCCACCCAGGACCACTGGAGAACTGCGGTTTGTTATTCTATTTTGGTTTTTAGCTGAGAATGTAGTTTAGCTATTATTGTATGTCACCTTGAGCCATTAAATGTTTTAATAAATAGATTCACAATTTTGTCTTTGACAACACCTTCCACAGCTTTGCTGGCCTGCAGTTTCCTGGATTACCTGACACTGCATGCCTTTTCTTTTACTCTACAAGAAGACTCTGAATAGCTCAGAACCAGTGTGATGTCATGTCTGTGAGCAAGGAGACAGAGTCAAGTTCTCCTCACTGCGTGTGACTTCTGGCCAATGATTCTCTCTCCGCTTAACCAGCCTCACTCCCTCCCTTGTGAGGATTAAGGGGGGAGGGGGCCACCCTGACTTCCTTACAGAAAAAAGCAGGGGGGGGGGAATCCCTCATGGATAGGAAAGTCCACAATTCCATCTGTTCCTTTAACCAGCGGCATTCAGAGCCTTTCCACACACAAGGGAGTCTGCAGTCCTTGCGCACCTCGGGTGTGTGTGTGTGTGTGTGTGTCACATTATTCTGCAGAGATGAGGGAAGGGGCCTGGAGGGATCCTGCATGCATGCCCGTGCCTCCTGAGGAGACAGAGCAGTGGCTAGCACTGTCTCTTCTGATGGACGGCACCTCTGTTGGGGCCTCAAGTCCTGCTCTTCACTTGCTCCTTCCACCCTGCTCTCTCCTCTCATCACAAGAAGTTCTCTGCGGTTCTTTAACCAAGGATTGAGCAGGGGACCCTCGGCATAAACAAAGGTCCTTCCTGGACCAGTTGCCCTCAAGCTTTGCTCAGCTCTGTGGGAGTTTTGTCCTAGGCCAAGAATCCAGTCCAGCTCTGAGGGGAATGTCTGCCTCGCATCCCTTGTGGCTGGCTAGAGTTCTCCTTCCTGATCCAGTCCTCCCCACTCGGCTTGTACATCGCGTGAGTGCCCCCACAAGAGACAGCTTCCTTATCAAGCCGCCAGTTTCCCCCGTTGCCCTTTAGGGAAGGCAGTTCTGAGGGGCTGGACAGAAGGGCAGAACACACTCACATGCCGGCTGTGGCTCGGTTCTGTTCCCGCCTGTGCCGCCAGGGTTCTTCTGCGGATCCGGAGTGCGCCGCTTTTGCTGCTGTGGTTGGTTTGGGACAAGAGGGGAAAAGTTAAGAGAGCTCACCACTGCCCATTTACTTGGTTCAGAATCCAGAGGACAGGGCCAGGCTGCGAGGAAGGTAACACCCACCCACCATCTTGGTTGTAGTGCAACATCACTGCCTTCTGCGAGCAGATGTGGCCACCCCAAAGCCCAGAAGAAGCAAAGAGCTCCTCCAACAGCTGGGAGCTCTTCTGCCAGAAAGGAAGAAACGTGAGCAGTGTTGGCTCACTCTCCTTGCCTCAGGAAAGCCACGCAAGGGATTCATTGTGCCAGACACACATTCCCTTGCAAGCCACACTCCACATGCAGGAAGCCTGTGGCAGAAGGGGAAGGGTGGGAGAAAGGAGAGCGACTCTGCTCCTGGGCTGGCCAGTCTAGTTTGCTCCTTGCAGGTGGAGGACAGCTCTCCGCTTCCATCCAGCCAACGCATTGGCTGCTGTCAGGATGAAAAACGAGATGGCGGGTATGCCTCCTTTGCTCTTCCTTCCTGAAGAACCCAGAAAGAGAGTTCTTCATGAGGACTTGAAAGCAGAGCTTCATTTGCTTTATTGCTTCTCACAATTATTAGAAATGTAAAAATACACTTTTGGGTTGTTGTTTTTTGGTAAACGTATAAACCTCTCTTTTGACCCTAAACTTGGGTGTCCCCCCCCCCCTCCAAGTGATATAATACAAATATTTACCAGTGTCCGCTTATCAATCCAGGTCTGTTTTAATACCTGTACAGGCAGTCAAAAAATCCCTTCCTTTCCCCCAAATACCCATAGGTGAGAGGGAAAGAAAGAGGAGCTACAGGATGGCCTCAGTTTCCCCAGGCAAAATGTCCCCATGCATCTGCAGCTACCAACCACTGGGAAAGGGAGGAGCCCTGCCCGGAAGGCCTTAGGCCTCTTCACTGGTTCCAAGTGCGCGTGGGAGATGGTGCTGACCCTGCATCCAGTGACTGGTGGTGGTCAGGGAAACAGAAGGAATAAAAAGGACATTACCAAACAAACACACAGGCAGAATTACCTCTTGGTTCGAAGGCACAAAATATGCTGAAAATTCCGTTTCCCGACAAGCTTTATCAGAGCATCCTATTATTGGAAAGCACTCACTGACTGAGAAAAAGATGGGGGGTGTGTGTGTCCTCATGAGTGCCCCTCCCCCCACTTCAGAGTTCTGGATTTCACGAGGGCTTGCTTGTTCTGGTACGCATTTGGGGGTGGGCATAGATCTTTAAATTCAGAAGGGATTGTTTTTGCCAATTGTTATTTGAGTGTTACTGGCCCTAGCTTTTTCTCTTTCAGCGTGGATTTATTAGGGGATGTAATATTCTCTTCCAGAGGTTTCCATAAGATTATTGGGCAATTTTTCTGTCTAGATTATCACAGATGCTTGGTTTTACAGTTCTCAAAACTGTGAATTTGTATCTGCAGAGATCACATGCCTCTTCTTCACCGCAGAAATTTATAAAATAAGCATACAGAGTTAAGAGACCTATTGCTCCTCTGCAAATCTACGCACACAGAATCAACCCCTTATCTCTTAAGTGCTAAGTTTCAAGAAGTTCAGTGAATATAAGATTGTTTGGGGTGGAATAGGTTTGGATAAGGAGGATCTTTGGATAAACATCCGTTAAAAGCTAAGTGTGCGGGGGAAGGGGCAAGCAGTACAAATGAAAGTGAAACTTTTTGAGCAGAATACTCCAGAAATCTTTGTGCTTGTATCCTCATGGATTTTTAAGCAAATACCAGAATACATATGCTATGTAATGTTATTGTTTTAGACAAATAAAACAATTTAAATGGATATTGTTAATGATTATTTCCCCCTTCCAATAAAGTACAGCAGAAACGTTGTCCAAATATGAATGATTAGCAACCTATTAAATTGGAGATCGTTCACCTTGCAATTATTTCATAATTATCTATTTCAAGCGTTAAATAACCAATAATCAACTTTCTGATATAACTAAAACTAACCTGAGAAGTTATTACACTAAAACCCGGGGTGGGGACACTCCTAGCAGATGAGGCCCCTGAAACGACTCACTCGGTGGCAAAATATCTACCGATAGTGCGATTTTTAAAGGGGCTTTGAAATGCTGTAGGTAGTTTTATGTATACAATTTTTTAAAATTCCAAAACTAATTTCCATATCATCATGGGATTTTATAGTTAGAAGGGACCTTGCAGGTCATCTAGTCCAACCCCCTGCACTCTGTAGGAGTGTAGCTGAAAGATAGCGCTACATACCTACAACATACCCGAAAGATGGTTGTCCAGCCTCCGCTTGAAAACGTCCAGCGAAGGAGCATCCACCATCTCCCGAGGCAGACTGTTCCACTGCTCAACCACTCTTACAGTTCGGAAGTTTCTCCTGATATTTAGCCGGTAACGACTCCCTTCTAATTTCCACCCATTAGACCTAGTATTGCAATCCGGAGCAAGAGAAAATAGATCTGCTCCATCTTCTACATGACAGCCTTTCAAATATTTGAAGACTGCAATCATGTCCCCTCTAAGCCTTCTCTTTCCCAGGCTAAACATACCCAACTCTTTCAGCCTTTCCTCGTAAGACTTGGATTCC